GTAAAATAACAACTTTTAATTCATTACCTTTACGAATTTTTCATATAGTTAAACTTTCGAACAAATTAGTAATGAGCAATTGGATTTAAATATTATGTTATGATCTTATTAAGAAAAAAAAATTTATGAAGCTGTGTTACTAAATTATTGTGGTAATTTTAAGATTTTATAATGCTAATTTTCATAATGAGAATAATTTTCGAATTTTTTAAATAAATTCACTTATAATAAATGATCGATTCAGATCTATACGTGTTATCTATAAGTGTTATCTATAATTCTTTATGCAATAAATTATAATAAAACTTAATAGCAGGAATAACATTATTTTTATGTATAAATTTAATATACAAAATATAATGAACATAATACTGGATTTCGGTACCGTTAATACTGAATATATGTAATATGTTATTTCCTCTGAAAGAATTTTATTATAAACTCTAAAGTAATCTTATGTTCTTCATAGAATCTTATGTTCTTATCTTATATTTTTATAAAAAAAACTCTGAAGGAATTTTATATGAATATACCTTAAATCATTACGCTTTCAGAAATTGATTAGATTCATAAACAAATTTATTTTTTTTTGAAATTTTTGTTGAATATTTGAACCCAAGTGAGGTGAAGAAAACATGCAAATAAAAAATTATTTATTTAAAATTCTTTTCAGAATTAAGATTTTTAAGTAATAATTACTCGGCATAATATCAGTTCTTCATTAATAACCCCGATTGTTCGATCTATTTTATATCTTTTAAGAAATAGCATTTTAGAACGGCTTAATTTTGTAAATAAAACCACAATTTTAAGTAAAGTATATAATTACGTACAATAAATGTACACCTTACAGATTTGGTAATTATTTCTGAATTTAATTAATACAGAACAAATAATAATATAAATTTTTCCAAAATCTTAAGAAAAATTCAATTAAGCAAAATGCATAATTTCTTATAGTTTTTCGAAAAACGTGAATTGCATTTTAAATAAAATGGAAAATATAATGTTGTAATGCAATAATAAACAGAAAATTCTACAACATTGTAAAAAACTACAAAATTATTCACATTTTTGTATTTACTAATTATAATTTAAGGTAAATTTTATGGAGGTGTATTTGTATGTGAGCAGATACTTAAAAAATTATTAATTTTTCTTTTATTTTTTACCGACAATTTTTGTTCAGTTGTGCAAACTTATTAAGTAAAATAAAATGAAATATTTAGTTATAAAATTTATTAAAGAACAAGAAACGTGAAAAAATCTCAACATCCTTCTATATAAAGGCGATGAAAAACCAATAATATAAAAATTCTGGAAAAAGCGTTTTTCATTTTTTTTTTTTTAATATTTTAAGTTTTGAACACGTGACGATTTTGTATTATGAATTTTGAATTCATAATGAAATGTTTAAGAAAATTTCCCCATATAATATTAATTTTTTTTATTGAACATTTTTTTTGAGCTTTTAGCGCTATTAGTTTTACATTGACTTTTTTTTATTGAGATCTTAGCCAAAATTTGCACTTTTAATAAATTAAAGTTCAGATATTTTTGAATTTTAATAGACTGAAGAAATATTATGTGTCTATAGTTGTTGTCGTACATCTGTTTATTTAAATTGCAATTTTCAACTTTGAAAGTCATTAATGTTGACTTTCAAAGTTGAAAATGCCATTATTGAAATTGTTTAAATTTATTTATTGAAATTTGTTTAAAATTTCAATAAATGACTATGAAATGTTCATTTACTGTTTAATATTTAAAAATATTAAATAATTAAAAATTCGAATAATTGAAAGAATTTTATAATTAACAACGTACAAATTATGAGTTAAGTTTATAGGAATAAACAAATAACACCGATATTTAAATATTGAATCGCAATCCGTATGATAATAATTACTTAATTTCATAGAATGTAATCTATAGCGTAATCAATTGTGTAATTACTAGTTATAGTAATTAAGGTATATTTTTAGTACGTTCCAAAATCTAAATTATTATCAAATTTCGAGGTTATAACTTTATTAATTCATTATCCCAATTATATGACGTCATTCAGTTTTATAAATGAAATTTCATATTAAAAAATTTAAAAGAATGTTTCAATGTTTTCAAATTAATTGAATTTATTAATGGAATTTTGTAAAAATCGGAGAAAACCCATATATTATTTAAAGAAAATCCCAGTAATAAAAGAATGTAGATAAAAGGTATACAAAATTAAAAATTCATTCAACTTCTAGTAGCTAGTAGATTGCAATGACAATTTTTTGGTTGCTTCTTGTTTTACATTTTCTATTTTAAAATTTTGTGGTTTTTCATATTTTAAAAGCCTTGTTCTATATTTAAAATTTTCTTTAAATAATTCAAATTGCCCCTTTTTAACAAAAAGAATCGATTTAAATAAAAGGAAAAGAAAAGAAATTTATTTTTACATTGTCTTCCATTTTACCTTTATAAATTTCAAAATCTATTTTTAAATACTTTTTTAAAATATACTTTTAATGCTATACGCTTACGACAATTTTTTATTTTATTTTTAATTTATCTTGAATATTTTATAAGTTTTCTTATAAATTAAATTCGATATTTTTAGGTTTAAAAAGGATTAGTTACTTTAATTTTTTCGTCGTGATAATTTTTCTGTAATTCATTTTATTATTGAAAATAATAAAGCCTAAATCTATGCAATCTATAATTATTTATTGAAAATTAAAATTATATTTGGAATAGGGAATTCAACAAACTAACTATGAGACTTTTTAACTATGAGATTTTTTCTTCAGAACCACATACTATGTTTGAATAATTAATATGTTTCATTAAAAATGATAAATTTTTTATATTATTTAAATTTTAAAGAATCTAGGTGAACTATTCTAATTCACATTTTTTTTTATATCAATTATAAAATAATTGTATATCAATTAAACATTGCGAAAAAAATTGTTGCCAATTATAATAATTTATAAGTGAAGTTAAAATTTGTAACCGTTTGCTATTTTAACCATAAATTACAAACAATTTAATTAATTTAACAAATTTTTTCATTGTAAGGTAAATTTTTTTTATAATTTATTAAAACAGCAGCATAAAATAAAGAAATTGTCATAATTTCAAATTGCTGTATGCTGTAAGTGTCTACCGATCTAAGATTGAATTAAAGCAACTAAATTTATTTAATTTCCTTTATTGTATTAGTAGAAAGGTTTTGAATATTAGAGAGATACTACCACAAATTTCCTATAAAATTAATTTAAAAAACTCCATTTTAGTGAATATACTTGAAATATCAAATTCCCTTTATATAATTATTATAGTTTTTCAATTATTACATATTTGTGAGTACATACTCACAATTGTTGTAATGCACAAAAAATCTCACGAATTTTTGATCAAATAAATAATGAAAAACTTAATCAAAACCTGTTTTTTTTTCTTATTTATTTGAAAATTTTATTTATAGTTAGTAAAATGTGAAAAACAAATATTGTTCCTTTTATAATTCGTTTTTCTAATTATTCCTGTTATTATTTTTAACGCCTTACTATATGCAAATATTAATAAAATATTTTTGAAAACTTTATTCCGCTTTAGAAAATATTTAGTTATTTTTTTTTGTATCTCTTTGTTTTTATACACATTTTATACAGTAGCGTAAAAAGTTTTTAATATCTTGAATTGTATAGGTGCATGGTATATGTACATAATTATATGCTTGTTATACTAAGTGGATGTAATGGTCTACAGTATATTTGTAAATTAGATTGTATGTAATTTAATTATCCTTAGTTTGAGTGTATTTTGCTTTTAATGAAGTACAAAATAAAAATTTCATTCGACTATTTTGTGTTGGTTAGAATTAAACGAGAAATTTTCATTTATGTAACTAGGTATTGTTTCTTTTTTAAATTAGTTTTATGATTTTAACCGCGTATATACACAATTAAATTTTGTATTAGTTTTTATTATGGTTTATAAAAGTATATTTATAAAGTTCGTAATTTATGTATGTGTAAAATTTTTAAAGTTGTGCTCATTACAAATTAGTAGATATAATATGAAAGGATTAGGTATATATATATATATATGTATATATTATGTGCATAGTGTATTAATATATTACAGACATTAATAAATTAGTAGGAAGATATATTTAGATAGACAAATGTTAGATATTTATATGTTACATTTAAAAATAAAAAAAATCCAATATTGATTAGCACTATGAATGAAGAGAAAATGAAAAAAAAGAAAAGAGACAGAGACAGAGACAGTACATTTAAAAGGTAAAAAGGATTTTAATTGCAGGAAATTGAAGATAATTTTTTTTTGTTTTTATTACAGTTGTTTTTAATATAATATTTATGAATACTTGTTTTCTAAAAATTTGAATTTAATATTATTTGTGTATAATTGTACTAAAAAATGATTGTTTTACTGACATTTATATTTTCTATTCCTCTATTTACAATGTGGAATTGTATAAGGTATAGGCTTGCCAAAATTCTATTAATATTAAAAAAAAAAAAAATAGTTTCAAGTTTGAACCATAACAGAATTTAAGCTTTGTTGTAATTATTCAATATTTAGGCAAATTTGAACTTATTTTGGGAGAAAAAAAAATAGTTTATATTCAAGTTTCTGCAAAAAAAATCCAAAATTGTTATTAAAAAACAATATAATTTTATATTGGTTTTTTTATTAGAAATTAAATTAGTTTGTAAAGATTCTTCTATGAGTCGAAAAAAAAAAACAAAAATAAAAAAAAATTAGTTTTTCACTCAAAGTATTGTTTGTTGAAGTTATTAAGGTAAAGATACGTATAGTCACAATCAAAAGAGGACGTGCATTTTATTCTCATTAAATAAATATGTAATTAAAAAAAAACATTGAACAACAAAGGTTCTGTTGCATATTAAAATTCCTTTTAATAAAAATAGACATTTTTTTTTATATTAAATTTATTAATTGAATTCTGATTAACTTACTCGTAAAGTCATCTAAATCTTCTGCTTCCGCTTCGGCTGCCAATTCTTCAGGTGTCTTTTTCTTTCGCATCAATGGATTTGGTTCTTCTTGCGGTGCTTGTTCTACTATTTCTTCTTTTTTCTTGATATTGTACTAAAAATTATATAAAAAAAAGAAAATGTAAATTAAATTTAATTTAATAGAATATTTGTTATTTCTGAAAAATTTTTAATTTGATTGTAAATTCAAAAATATTGTGATATTTCAATTGTACATATATTGAATGTAAAATTAATGGTCAAAAATATAAAATTCAGTAAGTGAATTACAAGTTCCTAAAATAAAATTCTTTCATATTTTGGGAAATAGTCTAATCTTCCAACGAAATGTAATTTTAATTATATTGAGAGTATGTTGCTTTGGAAACCGAAATGACTATGTTTATAATAGAAATGTCGCTTTATTACTTGATTAAAAAAAGCATGTAAAAGGATAAATAGCTTTATTTCAGGTCTTTTTATTTTTTTAAAATGATTACTCGTATTGCTGCAGAATTTCTATTGCCTATAATGGCTTGATTGACAAAGCAAATAAATTCCATTTTACAAACGTAACATTTTTCCAAGCACCCGGCATCCTTATGTTAAACTAAATGTAACTAAATAATTGATAAAAAAATCGATAAATTGTAATTCTATATAATTTTTATTGAATAGTTAAAAACGAATAATTTCGATTGTATTTAAAATTTTTGTTATCTTTTGTCACGACAAATTAAGTTTTTGCTTATTTGCATCACAAAAAAATAAAATAATAATGAAATGAAATACAACTAAATTCCAATTTATTTATTAATTATTCCAAAAAGAAGAAATATTGAAATAAAAATAAATTACTAAAAATATTATTCAAAAATAATAAATTATTTTCAAAATATTCAATTTTTTTTTTTTTTCATAGATTATTTTCATAGCTCTTATATTATACGCTTTAGAAATTCAATGAATTGTAATTATTGTCGATAATGAATAACCACAAAAATAATGTTTTAATAGTCCATATTATTATTTTTTTTTTGACAATTACGGATAAACAAATATAAATATAATAAAATTTCATATCCTAGCTATACATACATATATAATTTATTTAAAAAAATATGAAAAAAATAAAATTATAATGAACGTTTCATGAGAATTTCATAATGATAAAATATTAAATTGATTTTATTATAATATTCTCGTTAGCGAAATAATATAAGTACGATAGCCCATTTATATTCAATTATTTCAAATATTTATTAAATTATTAAATCTTCAATCAAGAATTAAATTTATGGAACAATAATGTATTAAAACAAAAAATGTTAAAATACGAGTATCAAATTAATTTTTATTTTAAACTTGAAAATTTAATATTAATATTATATTAAATACTCTGTGACTGACTATATTTTACAATATTAATCTATAAAATTGTTGTTAAAATTAAGATTTATTTATATTATTTAATGGAATTAGATATTGTATAAATAGTCATAAATTTCCTATTAAATAAAACTTAAAACCAAATTAATAATTCAATAAAATATAATGAGAAAAATTAGGAAATTTTAATTCTAATGATTTTATTATAATAATATATAGCGAAAGCCAAAATCAAACGAATTCCTATTTAAATTGCAAAATCAGTTTCATAATTTTATAAGCTACTATTGTACACGCTTAATTAAAAAAAATTTACTTCCCCACACCTAATTTTTCTAATTCTTCATATACATTTTTAACGTTTAACTCGCTTAATAACACAAATTTTTTATGAGCACAAATATTTTTTCCAGTTTCGTCAATATCCCTTAAGAAAGGAACTTACTAGAACTTTTTTTTATAAAATTCTTTTCACAATAAAATGATTTAACAAACAGTTGGTACGCCACCTAGCATAAGACGTATAATGTAGAGATTAATATTCAATATTACACTATTTCCTTAATATTTACACATTGCAATTTTTCGTTAAATTAAAAATTGAATTAAAACATTGAATAAAACAACGCGGATGTATCCCCAATAAATAAAAAATCTGCTGCTAAATAAAACTGTGGCTTCAGTTTATAAACTGCTTTATAAGCTAAGAGCTTTTTCCAATTACATTTTGAAACACGATAAGTTGATAATTTTACATCATTCCTTCACTCTACATTTCATGGATATTAAATACTGATAAATGCACTTTTATTTTTAAAACAGAAAACAAAATTCGAAGTAAAAAGTTACATAATTTTTAAAGTTCAAATTAATTTTTAAGTTTTCGTATTACCAATCTACCTTGTTTTTTTATTAAATTTTTTTTATATAAACAACCTTAAATCAAAATTATTCTCTGTTGTATATGTTAATTTTGAATTTACTTTTCCATTCGATTTTTCTTTTTTTTTGCAAAACTTTTTATGTAATTTAAAAATTTTACCTTTATATTTAAACTTTTTTTTTTGTTCATTGCAAATCAAGAATATATTGTGAAAAATAAGGACTTAAAAATTTTTTTTTTAAACTTTTTACATTGCTTTTGTTTTCCGGTTCTTTTAATATTCAACCATTACAATGTTAAATACCAACAAGACCTCTCCCTAAACGTGACAAGAATTAAATAAAAATTTAAGAGCACGGAAAAATTAAAGATGCGAAATAAAATTTTACGATGAAATTTTTTACTTTTTTTTTATTAAATTAAATTTCAGGTCCTGCACGTATACGTATATAAAATATCCTTAGGTTTTTTTTTCTCGGCTTTTATTCATAATTTTCATACACTTTATACTTATTTGAATATTTGTGATTTGAAGTGTAAGTAAATTTCTCAATTTATATTTTGCTAAGAAATATTTTGTTATTTCCAAAATTAAATTCTCTTAATGTAAGATTTTATATTATTTGTTGTGTATTCTTGTGTTGAAGTAAAAAATAAACCACTAATTTTATAAGCTTTCATTTTAACAATTTTATGATATTATGCCAATTTATTCCAGATCTATCTCACAATTTGTATATTGTATCGAAAAGTACACAGTAATAGAATTAAATTAATATTTTAATTCTACTGCATTATGCTTGCAGACCGTAATCGGGAACGTTATGAAAATAAAATTTATTATGTTGGAAATAATTCTTTTAAAAGATAATTAAAAATGATGGGTGAAACAGTTAAGATGAATTAAGATGAGTTATTCTGCTACTAATCAAATTTATGATTTAGAAAATTTTTATGCCAATAAAATATATTGGAATTTTTTTTAATTTGCAGGAAATTTATATACTGAACAGTACTTAAAATTTAAATGTAGTGAAAATAATTATTACAACATTATCTTTTATTTTCAAGTTCAAACGTTTATTTTGTCTTCATTACTTATAAGTGCAAAAAGTGTTTGAGATTTTATGATGATGAAACGATATACACATATATTCAGTTCAACTGATCTGTAGTTGATTTATGAATCGTAGATGTCTAAGAATTTTCACTTTTATTATCCTTTATAATTTAGAAAAAAATTTTGTTTTTGAAATTATGAAAGTGATTTAGGAAAAACCAATTACAAAAAATCCTAGGATCGAATTTTAATAGCATTCTGGTGTTTGTTAATATACCATTAATGAAATATAAATAAAATTTCTATGGTTTTTGGAAAAAAATTTAGTTAGTCGAAAAAAACCTGTTTCGACTAAATTATTTGGAAAATGTAAAAAAAATATTCTTTACAATTAATTCGAAATTACTAGTTTTTTAAAAGTTTAATCATGTGAAATTTGGTTTTCTAATATATAAAGTTAATAATTTGAAAATTCGATTTATGCAATTTTTAATAGTTTCTCTAAAAAACTTGTTATTTCAAATAGGAGAACAAAACCCAGAAATGTCTGTTCTATATTTGAACTGAGAACAGGTTTAGAAGCATGATTCAAAAATTGCCTACATTGAACAGCTTTGTGCGTTCTTTTAAATGGCATATATCCTATTTGAAACAAAACAAACGTCTATGATAAAAATATTTTTAGAAAAAATGTTCTAGTATGCAAAACAAACTATTTATGTAAGTGTTCGAAAAATTTTATTTAATGCTAAATTATTTGATATTGAGATTACGAAATAAGAGACTTTTAAAATGAGAAAAATATATAAATTATTTTTTTATTTTCTTTTTATTGCGAGTAAAATGTTCACTCGATCATTAAAATTTTCAGAGTGTATGTAGAAAATAATTGGACACATCCTTAAAAAATTTTATATCAGTACCTCAATTAGTTTTTGAAATATTTTCAATTCCAATTCGTTGTCCGAAGTGTTTCAATTACAATAGCAGTCGTCCTTGGCAGAAAAAAAAACAATTTATGAAAGTTTAGTGTCGATTGCGTTATTCGTTTTTAAGGACGAATGAACGAATTAACGCACGGACAAGACTAAATCAACGCTTAAGTATTACTATACTTAAATATATCTGATAATTATCGCATTCATTATTGAATTGTGCTATTTGTGTGACAGACTGATACACAGTTGACCACTCATTTTTTGACGATGTAATGTGCACAGTCGTCTACTTATAGATTCTTTAGATATGGTACATCTTTTTTTAAAATTATTTTACAATGAATTTTATAGCAAAATAAGACGTAGGGATTTACGCATAAATAAAATGAAGTAAATAATAAACAAATTAATAGCAGTTGTGTAATTTATTGTGTTTAAAACACAATAAATTTAATATATTGTGAATTAACCATTTTTTTATGTTTTTTTTTTTTAATTTTTTAACCTTCTCATATTTTCAATTTCAATATTAAATTTCGATTAATCGCTATGATACAGATTCAATTTTTTTTAATTTTCTGTTCAAAAATCTTAGGTTTTAAAAAGATTTCTTGGAATTGAAATGAATTAAAATGAAAGAAGAAAAAAAATATTAGTTAAAAATAAGAATCAGAAAATTTTTTCGGTTTCGTTATTTAATTTAATTTTTCTTTTTCATAAAATATGGAAGCTCTTGTAGTGGTGGGAAAATGAAGGAAACATGTTAAAAGAAATCGAAAAAATTCAATTATTTGGCATGGTATGGTAAATAACTTTATAATACAAAACAAAGAGCAAAGATTTAT